AAAATTGAACCACCCTATGACCTACCAATTGCACTACTAGGTATTTATCCAAGAGATACAGGTGTGCTGTTTTGAAGGGGCACACGCACCCCAGTGTTTATAGCAGTGCTGTTGACAATAGGCAAAGTACTGAAAGAGCCCATGTCTCCAACAAGAAATGAATGGCCAAAGGTACACACACACACACAAAATGGAGTATTACTCGACAACCAAAAAGAATGAAATCTTGTCATTTGCAACTATGTGGATGGAACTAGAGGGTATTATGCTAAGTGAAATTAGTCAGAGAAAGACAAATATCATATGACGTCACTCCTATGTGGGATTTGAGATACGAAACAGATGAACATAAAGGAGGGGAAGCAAAAATAATATACAAACAGAGAGGAGGACAAAACATAAGAGACCCTTAAATACAGAGAACAAACTGAGGGTTGCTAGAGGGGTTGTGGGTGGAGGGATGGGCTAGATGGGTGAGGGGCATTACTGAGGACGCTTGTTGGGATGAGCAGTGAATCACTGGAATCTAGTTCTGAAATCATTATTGCACTATATGCTAACTTGGATGTAAATTTAAAATAAATTAAAAAATAAAAGTAGTGAAATCTGACTCCTAAAAGGTTTGACCCTCATGCTTTTATTTGTGAGGGTCTCTTTCGTGCCTTCCCTCTTTCTTCTGTGCACACTGTTCTGTTGCTACTTCCTGTCATGAGTGGGGGGGCGGGCGGGGATCAATGCTGCTGTTCACTTTCCTACAAAATATCCATATGAATGGCACTGAATTGTGCAGAAGACTCAACCTTGGAACCAAGTCGTGGAAAGAAGTCCAGGGATTTCTAATGTGAGGTATTGGCACCATGTAGTCCTGTAACTTTCGTCTCTCTGCAAATCCTCAGGTGATGCATGTCTCATTTTTTTGCCTCTGCTCATAACCGACATGCTGGTGCACACAACAGTCAGAAGGTAAGGAAAGAAGATGCTTTTTTAGCAAAATGACGTATAATGGAAGTTCCCCATGAATGCAGGGAGGCACCCATGTGTTCCTGCCAGGTCCTCACCTATCAGACCCCAGATTTTCATGCCCACTTTCTTGCAATGTCTCCTTAACATCTTCAAACACGCCTATGTTGGCAAGTGTCAGCCTATAGGGATAAAAGGAAAGAGCCTTTCTCAAAAGTCCCTTTGGGGCTGGTGAAAGAAAACTTGTAATTGTTTTGTTGATTTTTTTTTTTTTTTTTGTAATTAGCAACTGAAAAAAGATTCCCAGAAGCATTCTTCCTCCTCAGTGACACTCTGTTTGCTCCTAGGGGAGAAATGACAAATGAAGTCCTGAGTGGCAAGGTGAGGTCACAGGATCAAGAGCCCATATCTCAGGGTCTGGCTGCCTCCCTTTTGCACTTGAACTGGCTGGTTTGACCTTCACAAGAGCCTACCATCCTGACAGCGGGAAGGAGGTGAATGTTTTCTGTTTCAACCCGAGAGGCTGAGTCTACTATGAAAGCGAGGCGATTAGAAGTCTGGGTAAGTGGTTATGTTAGAAAAAGTGCTGCTGTGAACCCAGTCCAATGTCAAAGCCACACAAGAAGGAGGAATAATTCCTGAGGCATCAGCTAAGCTAATAAAGGCAGACGATGGCCCCTAAATTAATTTCACTTCATTTTGATGTTTAAATGCTAGTGAAACCTGATTTTTTTAAGGTGTTTAAGGACCATAGTTCTGAGGTCAATCAGACGCCATTGTCTACTCGACGGGAATCATAGCCTAGATTTCAGGATTCCCAGAGTTGTGCTTACAACACATTGGTGCTTATAACTGGATGAAACTATGTGAACCATATCATTCTGTGCAGTGTATTCAGTGTATTCAAATTACAGTTGCTAGAATGGAAATGTTTACTTTAGCTCTGGGTGTCTGATACAATGAAGGGAGACAGTAACTGTGTTTATACTGAAAACACCTGTGGTCTGTTGATTGTGGTAGGACTTCCTTCTCCAAGTGAGGGACAGATTATTTAAGGAAAAGGTAACTTTATGAGTTTTAGACAATAGCTGACAGGATTGAAAGTATCTTGTGATATTTTGTTTAACTTAAAAATATTCTAATATCAGGACACCTGAGGGGCTCAGTGGGTTGCGTATCTGACTTTCAGCTCAGGTCATAATCTCACGGTTGGTGGGATTGAGCCCCACATCTGTGCTGTCAGCACAAAGCCAGCTTCAGTCCTCTGTCTTTCTGTCACTCCCCAGCTCATGCTCTCTCTCAAAAATAAATAAACATTTAAAAATATGTTTTTAGGGGCACCTGGGTGGTTCAGTCAGTTGTGTGTCTGACTTCGGCTCAGGTCATGATCTCGTGGTCCGTGGGTTTGAGCCCTGTGTTGTGCTCTGTGCTGACAGCTCAGAGCCTGGAGCCTGCTTTGGATCCTGTATCTCCCTCTCTCTCTGCCCCTCCCCTGCTCATGCTTTGTCTCTCTCTCTCAAAAATAAATAAACATTTAAAAATATTTTTTAAAATATGTTTTTAATATTCTAGTATCAATTCAAAATATCTACTACTGCAATACATAAAATATACAGTATTTCATGCCTTAGAGATTAAATTTTGTGCATATGTCCCTTACATCATAATATTTTTTCAAAAATCATGCATCACTGCTAGTAATTTTACTAACTTGGTATTAGTAGGTATGTAAGTAAAAGATCTGAAAATAATAATAATAATACTTTAGTGATTTTGGCCCACACTATTTACTATGCAGTATTGTTTCATGTCCTATAATTTGGGATATGGCATGAGTGTTTTCTTTTTCTTTTTTTAATGTTTTATTCTGAGAGAGAGAGAGACAGCGTGAACAGGGGAGGGTCAGAGAGAGAGGGAGCCACAGAATCTGAAACAGGCTCCAGGCTCTGAGCTAGCTGTCAGCACAGACCCCAACACGGGGCTTGAACCCACGAACTGTAAGATCGTGACCTGAGCTGAAGTCAGACGCTTAACCAACTGAGCCACCCAGGCGCCCCGGCATGAGTGTTTTCAAAAGTTAAGGTAATAAGTGCCGTTGTGTGTTTGTTCCTGACATAAAAGCAAACAAATGTCTCTTTCCATACCCACTCCCGCCACCTTTATATCAAGCCACTCTTCATTCTGTTAAATCCACTTGTCATGCGCCAGGTTCCATGAGTAATAAACTGTAGTCAGTATATCTGCATCTATCAGGATTTTTTTTTAACTTTAAAAAAATGTTTGGGGCGCCTGGGTGGCTTAGTCTGTTGGGCGCACGACTTTCGCTTAGGTCATGATCTCGAGGTTCGTGGGTTTCGAGCCCCGCGTCGGGCTCTGTGCTGACTGCTGGCTCGGAGCCTGAAGCCTATTTTGGAGTCTGTGTATCCCTCTCTTTCTGACCCTCCCCTGCTCATGCTGTCTCTCTCTCTCTCTCTCTCTCCTAGAAATAAATAAAAATATTTTTTAAAAATGTTTATTTATTTTGAGAGAGAGAGAGTCAGAGGGAGGGGCAGAGAGAGAGGAGAGAGAGGATCCCAAGCAGGCTCCGAGTTATCAGCACAGAGCCTAATGTAGGCCTTGAACTCATGAACTGTGAGATCATGACCTGAGCTGAGATCAAGAGCCAGACACTTCACTGACTGAGCCACCCATGCACCCCTCTATAGAATTTCTAAAGCTTCATTCATAATTGACATTGGCCTATAGAATAAATCTGTACATATAAATGAAAACTGGCTAAAATAAAAATTGTAACAATACATCCAACCTAAAATCAAACAAGGGGCACTGGGTGGCTCAGTCAGTTAAGTGTCTGACTTCAGCTCAGGCCATAATCTCACGGTTCATGAGTTTGAGCCCCATGTTGGTCTCTGTGCTGACAGCTCAGCGCCTGGAGGCTGCTTCAGATTCTGTGTCTCCCTCTCTCTTTGTCCCTCCCCTGCTCACTCTTTATCTGTCAAAATAAACATTAAAACATTTTTTTTAAATTTTTTTTAATGTTTTATTTATTTCTAGGAGAGAGAGAGAGAGAGACAGCCTGAGCAGGGGAGGGTCAGAGAGAGAGGGAGTCACAGACTCTGAAACAGGCTCCAGGCTCTGAGCTGGCAGTCAGCACAGAGCCCAATGCGGGGCTCGAACCCACGAACCGCGAGATCATGACCTAAGCGAAAGTCGGACGCTCAGCCGACTAAGCCACCCAGGCGCCCCAAACATTTTAAAATAAATAAATACATTCAAAAAAAAATCAAACGTAAAAATGGCAAACATACTCTGGATTATCTGAAAAACACTGCTAACTGCTTTTTTTCATGTTGCTCGGTGGTTCAAAATGCTGTTTTTGTTACTAATACCAGGCATTTCCAAATTCTTACTCTGCCCCTAACCACCACATAGATATAGACAGATCACTTTGACTTCTATTTACCTTAACATCCTTTCTCTTTGTAATTAAAGTAACAGCATGTGCCTACCAGTTTCAGGAAGAATCAGAAGTTATGATGTATATGTTCTTCATAGGCTGTAACTTTTCTCTGAAGTTTATAGATTTAACTCTTGAAAAATCTCTTTTTTTTAATTAAAAAAATTTTTTAATGTTTAATTTTGAGAGAGAAAGACCATGAGCGGGGGAGGAGACAAAAGAGAGGGAGACCCAGAATCCAAAGCAGGCTCCAGGCTCTGAGCTGTCAGCACAGCTGAACCCACAAACTGTGAGGTCATGACCTGAGCCAAAATCTGGCGCTCAACCATCTGAGCCACCCAGGCGCCCCTCACTCTTGAAAAATCTCTTAATAAAAGATTGAAAAAATGAAATTAGAAATATCTTAGAACCAAGAGAGTAAATGGAGAATGTTGGGATTCAGTTGACACTCTGGATGTGGTTCCTGCTCCCGTCCCCGCCCCCGTGCCTCCCCCCCACCCCCACCCCCACCCCCACCCCCGGCAATTCCTACACAGGATCCAATGGCTTTGAAGACGAGCGTTGGTCACTGAGGACTGACAGGATGGCCACCAGGGATCTGTCAGTAGGGCTGATCTTCTTAATCCAGACTGTGGTTGGAACGCTGGGGAACTTGTCTCTTCTTTACCATTATCTCCACCTTTCTTTCACTGGGTGCAGGGCGAGGAGTATAGATTTGATTCTCAGGCACCTGACTGTAGCCAATGCCTTGGTCATTCTCTCTAAAGAAGTCTCCCATATGATGGCAGATTTTGGGGTGAGGCAGTGCTCCGATGATTTTAGATGTGACCTTCTCTTCTATGTTCAGAGAGTGGCCAGGGGAGTGTCCATTGAGAGCACCTGCCTGTTGAGTATCTTCCAAGCCGTCATGATCAGCCCCCAGAACTCCAGGTGGGCAGCGCTTAAAGGGACAGCTCCAAAGTACATCGGCCCCTCCACTGCCCTCTGCTGGATCCTGAACATGCTAATAAACACCATTTACCTGCTTTATGAGACTGGCCAGTGGATCAGCATAAACACGTGGAAAACGAGTTATGGATTCTGTTGCGTGGTCATTTACGATAATATCAGAGCCTCTCTGTTTGCAGTATGGCTGTCGTTCACTGATGTTTGCTCTCTGGGGCTCGTGCTCTGGGCCAGCGGCTACATGGTCTTCATCCTTCACAGACACAAGCAGAGGGTCCGATACATTCACGCAACCAATGTCTCCCCCAGATCCTCCGCTGGCTCCAGAGCCACGCGGAGCATCCTTGTCCTGGTGAGCACCTTTGTGTTTTGTAATACCGCCTCCTCCATTTGTCAAGTTTGTGTGGCTTTTTTCAACAACCCCAGCCAGTCACTGGTGACCATGTCGGCTCTCTTGGCTGTATGTTTTCCAACTCTCAGCCCCTTTGTGCTTATGAACTGTGACCCCAGTGTGTCCAGGCCCAGCTTTGCCTAGATAAGGAATAAAAAAATTCCCTCATCCTATCAGAAACATGTGTTTTTCTTGTTGTTGTTGTTGTTTTTCCTTCTACCCCTGTGCTGTCAGTGCAGAGCCAGCCTGGGCTCAAGTCCACAAACTGTGAGATCATGATCTGAGCTGAGATCAAGAGTCAGATGACTAGGGGCACCTGGGTGGCTCAGTAGGTTGGGCATCCAACTTCAGCTCAGGTCACGATCTCACGGTTCATGGGTTCGAGCCACGGGGTCGGGCTCCGTGCTGACAGCTCGGAACTTGGAGCTTGGAGTCTGGAACCTGCTTCAGATTCTGTGTCTCCCTCTCTGCCCCTCCACTGCTTGCACTCTGTCTCTCTCTCAAAAATGAATAAACATTAAAAGAAAAAAAGAGTCACATGCCTAACCAGTTGAGTCATCTAGTTGTCCCTACTTCATTCATTCATTCATTCATTCACTTTATTTATTTTTAGTAATCTCTGCCCCCAACATGGGGCTTGAACTCACAACCCCCAAGATTAAGAATCACATGCTCTTCTGACTGAGCCAGCCACGTGCCCCGACATTTTACTTTAGACTGGTAGTATTTCATTTTTCTAAAAATGAAAAATATATAAATGAAAAAATAAAACATTTTTAATGTGTGTTCATTTTTGATAGAAATAGAGACAGAGCATGACTGGGGGAGGGGCAGAGAGCGAGGGAGACACAGAATCTGAAGCAGGCTCAGGCTCCCAGCTGTCAGCACAGAGAGCTGGATGTGGGGCTCGAGCCCACAAACTGTGAGATCATGACCTGAGTCAGAGTTGGATACCTGACTGAGCCACCCAGGTGCCCTGTTTTTAATTTTTTAATTTTGATTTTAAAAACTTGTTTTTTAAAATTTTTAATATTTCCTTTTCAGAGAGATAGAGTGAGTAGGGGAGGAGCAGAGAGAGAGGGGGACAGAGGATCCAAAGTAGGTTCTGTGCTGACTGCAGAGAGCCCGATATGGGGCTTGAACTCACAAACCATGAGATCGTGACCTGAGCTGAAGTCAGACACTTAACTAACTGAGCCACCCAGTTGCCCCTAAAACCTTCCCTTTGTGTATAAAGATTGATTCTATAAGTCAACACCAATTAACAATAAAGCTTTAGAGGGGTGTCTGGTTGGCTCAGCCTGTGTGACTCTTAATCTTGGGGTTGGGGATTTGAGCCTCACATTGGGTGTAGTGATTATTCAAAAATATAAAATCTTAAAAAAGACTAAGGCTTTAGAGATGCTAATAAAATTTAGATGCACTACAGATTGCAGTATAACACTAAAAGAATCTGCCTTATAACCAAATTTGGGTTTAATGAATGCAAAATTGGCTCAATATTAGGATGTTTGCAGAAAGACTCATTTGCTTTTATGCCAGGACCAAGTGCGACATCCTATATTATAGTAACTGAACAGTAATGTCACATAATTAAACAATTTATGCCATGCCCTCAACTATGGGTCATGAAACTTTAATAAATAATAAAATGTATAGAAATGAAATTGCTACTATTTCCTGATCACATACTTTTCAAACCTCAGTTAAGTGAGAATATTAGAAAAGAGAGTTGTGAAACTTGTGCATGGTATTAAAGTCAAAGAGAAACGTGCATTGAGTTTGGGATATCACAATATTTTTCAGCCAGAGAAAATATCACAGGACACATATGAGCCTAACCACCAATGTCTGAAACACCAATCCTGATTACCTTTCTTTAAATGCTGTTTTCCTAACCTGAAGAGGTAAAACTGTCTCACCATTATCATTGGAAATGGATGTTTTCAGTGGGGCAGGATTAATTCTCTTGAATTGTGTCATAACCCAAGTTAGAGAAATTTGTTCTAGCAATGGCCATTCAGACATACTTTTTTTGCCAAGGATTAGGTGATTCCTATGGATCCACCTTACTTTTCATTACAAGCATGCTAGTATTACAGGTGCACCTCTAACAGACCTAAGACTTTAGTCTTGGATTTCTATAAGGTATACGGAACCGAAGATGGGTTTAAGAACTATAATCCTTAAGCACCTTAAAAAGCAAATTCCATAATCACTTGGCTTAAACACCAACAAACACTGTGAGTAAGGATTGCATTATGTTACATTGAGAATCATCAAGGGACGCCTGGGTGGCTCAGTCGAGTGTCTGACTTTGGCTCAGGTCATGATCTCATGGTTGGTGGGTTCAAGACTCACGTCGGACTCTGCTGACAGGCCAGAGCCTGGAGCCTGCTTCGGATTCTGTGTCTCTTTCTGCCTCTGCCCCTTCCCAGCTCATGATCTGTCTCTCTTTCTCTCAAAAATAAATAAACATAAAAAATTTTTAAAAAAGAAATATGGAATCTAACAAAGTACCTGATAAGGATATTCAATGAAATACAAGTAAAAGGAAGAATATGAAACCTCTAATGTGCATTAGAAATTATTGGACACATGTGCCCTACTCAGTGACAATTAAGTTGAAAGTTAGATGACATGGAATTTTTGTAGGAAAGTGTCATTGAGGAATATTCACTTCAGTAATGATAGGAAGCCTAAATAGAACATTATACACAGAAGAAAGAGATATCTTTCTAAATAAACCGATAAAAGCACCTTCATCACATGGTCTGATAGGTGGATTCTACCATTTTTAAAACGAGATAATTGGGGCACCTGAGTGGCTCAGTTGGTTAAGCGTCCAACTTCAGCTCAGCTAATGATCTCACATTCGTGAGTTCAAGCCCCATGTCGGGCTCAGTGCTGACAGCTCAGAGCCTGGACCCTGTTTCAGATTCTGTGTCTCTGTCTCCCTCCGCCCCTACCCCATTCATGCTCTGACTCTCTCTCTCTCTCTCAAAAATAAATATACACTAAAAAATTTTTTTAACCCAAGAGATAATTAAATTCTCCTTTTTCAGTTCAAGAGCTTTGAAGAATTACCAGAGTCCACTTATGTTTGCTCATTTTCTGTAACGGGCAGTCATTACTTTAGTGATTAGTGAAGAAAAGTAAAATGTGCATATCAGCCAATCACTGGTATTTCCATATAACCAATCTAAAAATATGATCCAGGGGCACCTGGGTGGCTCAGTCAATTGAGCATCAGTCTCTCGGTTTTGGCTCAGTTCATGGTCCCATGATTTGTGGGGTTGAGCCCTGCGTTGGGCTCTGTGCTGACAGCTCAGAGACTAGAGCCTGCTTTGGATTCTGTGTCTCCCTCTCTCTGCCCCTTTCCGTTTCATGCCTCCCCCCTAAGTAAATAAACATTTAAAAAAAAGTGTTCTCTGCCCCCTGCTTTATCCCAAGGTGAAATTTGGAATGGATAATAGAAGACTGTGAAAAGTTTAACAAATTTTGAAGTTGTTTTAAGGGTACTTAGAAATGCATTTTATTGGGTTGCTCAGTCAGTTGAGCATCCAACTTTGGTTCAGGTCAGAATCTCACAGGTCATGAGTTCAAGCCCCACATCAGGCTCTCTGCTGTCCACTCAGAACCTGCTTCGGATCATCTGTCCCCTCTCTCTCTGTCCCTCCCCCGCTTGTTGGTTGAAGGTCAGCTCTTTGCTTCCTATGGGACTCTTGTCAGATGGAATCCCTTCCCATCCAGGGCTTGAGACCCCCACCCAGGCTGATATTTCCTGCTTTGAGTTGGGTCAATCTAATCTCTTTGAAAGTCCGCAGAAGCCTTGCTTATCATATAGAAATTGTATGTACAAGAGGGGAAATAGAATGGTGCGTGCACATCTCAGGTCTAAAGGAAAAATCAGGAGCTATCTTTGATGGAAATTTTATGCCTTCTTGTGGGGAAATAGGTTCTACTTACATAAATAGGTTAGAGAAAAGCTTCCAGCATGGGGCAAAAACGCCTGAGGTTAGCTAGCAAGATATTCTAATGTGATCACAAATAATTTGTTATATCACCTACAGGAAATCACTTTCCATTTGGTGCCAATCTACCTTGATCACAAACTCCACTTGCCCCCCAGACCCTTTGCTTCTTACACACACAAGTTAATGATTACAGTCTGATTGTTTTCTCCTTGCTCACATCTGTAAGAGCTTGTTTTTATCATATTTACCACATGGGTAATATCTTGTGAGCTCAATAAATACAGAAATGAAACCTTTGTTTGGGGATCTTGTCTCCTCCCGGACATTAGCCTCTCTTGTATTCAATTCTGCATCACTCTCTTGCTGGACAAGAGAGAACTCCGGACTCATAGTCTGTGACACTTTCTCAAGTGCCAGAAGCAAAGTTCCTTCTGTGAGGCCCTTGGTTCACCGACCATTCCTGACTGCCTGGCCAGGGGTTCAGTGATAGCTCAGGAAAAGTGACACCTAATGGTGTCCCTGGGGGTGTTGTGGCTGCCTAGCCTCAGGCCGACCATGAAGAACCCAAAGCAGGCATGGTGGCTCCACCCAATGATCGGTGGTCAGAATTCAGGGTTTGGGGTTATTGCCTATGTTCTAGCTGTTTGATCTTCCATGTTGAAAACTGTAGATTAAGGTGGGAGGGCTGGGACCTGGGAACACATCTCAGCTGCTGCTCCTTTGGAAACCCGTGGTAAGGGCTTGTTCTCCTAAGGGACTGAACACTGAGCACTGATTGATCATGCAATTGGTGATGGAGCTCATCTCTGTGCTGATGCAAAGGCTTGACACTGCGTGCCGGACCTTTGGTTGAAGGACAAAGTTGACCTGTTTGTCTCATGGCTGAGGAGGCTTCCAACCCTTCCAGGCAGAATGACTCCAGGTTGTCATGCCTCACACTGCTGACCCGTCCAGCATGTCAGTTAGCCGACTCCAGCCACAGCATTGTGACTTTGCAAACAGTGTCACTGTTTACCCTTTCTGGATCATTTGCACTCCCACTGCATTATGTCTTTTATCACCAATCTCCTAAAAATGGGCCAACTGTATGATTCTATCACGTGACCTCTATCACATCCTCCTCCTGGCCCATGCAACTTGGCCAGGCCATTTGGTGGTTGAATTCAG